TAAATTAGACAAGTCCCCCATGGATTCGAGAAGAAGGAAATTCAGAACGGGAACGAAACGAAATGAAGCGTTTCTAGCGGATGAGCTTCTCTTTATTATGTCTGGTAATAGAATAGGGCGGCTTGCTCTGACCAACACTCCACTTTTTGCTCCGTCCATGGAGCGTATGAATCTCCTGGAATGTATATAGGCCAAAAAAGGGAATGAAGGGATAAGAATAGGAATTATAGTACCATTGGAAGAAGGGGCACCTGTGGGAACATCTCTAATGACGAACTCCAATAGTACGGGTGCTGCCGTGCCACGAGGCACGACCATGGAAGTAATGAAAAAGAAGAAGTTCTTTAGTTGGACCATCTGCTCTATTCGATTTTCGCTTCTCCAGAGAAGATGAGACGCTCAAAATGAAAGTGTTCGCAACGCATACCGAAAGGGTACCAATTAGCCGACCATTAATGACTAGTTCGAACACCAGTAGCGGTCTGATCAAATAAGGGCTCTTATAAACAGGAAACAAAACCAAACCGAAAGAGTCCGGAGCCCCTTTGTTGGCTCCAACTACTTCTTCGTAAGTGAGGTGGTTTCGGGGGGCTTTTTTTTGTTTAAGTAGCCGGTCGTAGTCAGTTCAAACACATAAACCCTTGCTGCCTTGTAGAAAAAATGACTAAGTTTCATTCCTTGACCAGTCACTCGCCCCTCGTATTCACTGATCATCTCACCCTTTGGTCGAAATTCCATTCCCCTTAGTCGTAGGTGCTCGTTCTATTTTTATTTGAATGGGCTGGGTCTCCCGAGAACGGTAAATATGGCTGCCCCCTCGGGTGTCTCGGTGATACAAACAAAGAAAAGACGAATTCCAATCACCGACCAATCCTTACCAAAGGAAGGAATAGACTCGAATAATAGACTGTCCCCCCCCCAAACCGCAAATCAAGCAGCACTAGCCACTAGTGGTGAAGGAAGTGCGTAAGCAAGCGCGCCTTGGCCCCTTAGCAGGACGTTCGCTGTCCCCCTCCTTTCCGGTCCGGCCGCGGTACGGCCAAAGCTTCCCCGGATTCAGACAATGAAGGAGATAGTTGCTCACCGGCCCCGGCACCTGAACCCTAAAGATTAGATCCGATTGGATATGATCCGTTCAGATTCTACAGATCCAGCCAATTTGGTCTGATCCTATCTGACCCAACCCCGGAACTTAGAATGGCCAGACAGTTTTGGATGGTGGAACGGGGATATTTTGGAGAGGTCGGACCCATCCCATTCTCTCTCCAGGCACGAGCAGGAACATCAAAATCTCAGACCGAATACATCGGCATATCATAGAAGACTTATAAGATTAAGATTTTATAGGCTGCCTGCAGAAATAGTTGACCGATCGCACAACAATTCTTTCTTATGTTTAGCGCGTGGCGCCATGTCTCCCAATGAAAAAATCGGATAAAAAATATATATCGGCAAAAATACTTCATGTAAAGATATCACCAATATATCGGACTAAGCTCAAAAAATCGGATAAATACATATAAAAAGAATACACCATATCAAACCTACATAAATACATATAAAAAAAATACACCACATAAATTTTCTCATTAAATATTTTGGCAAATATCACACCCACTTATGTATATACCAAAAACATAGACAACACGATTTTTTTTATCATCAAATTCTTTAACAATGATATAACAACTTCACAACTATAGTTAGTGATTAGGGTTTATACTTTATATACATACTTGCATTTGAGTTTGGGTCCTCTGTTTCTACTTTCTAGAGAGAGAAGGCATAGAGGAGAGAATGAACGAATGGGGGAACTAGTATAAAATTCTTCGACATTACCATATTTCCAGTAGAAACCAGGCATTGAACTTCACGGAATATGATGATTGAGATTTGAGAGGGAAGAAAGTGATCTCTAATTCTTTTTTCTAGCAAAAATGGCAGCCCGTGGAGAGAAAGACAGTGATTTTTATGCAATTTTAAGGTTGAAGAATGAGTGCTCTGCTTCAGATCTCAAAAATGCGTACAAAAGGCTCGCACTTGTTAGAATAACACCATTTATTTATTTGCTTTTTCTATTCACTTAATCCTTTTCCTATCAGTATTGTTGTTTCTTGATTCGAAATGTTACGGGGTAAAAATTTTCTACGTTTTAGCTTTTTGAAACTTTGGCATTATTTTTTTCGATTGTTTTCGAAATTCCGCATTGTGTGGCTTTCATCTCTTTTATATAAAACTTTTGCTACTCTTATTTTTGAGGATTTTCAGTAATTCGTATCAAGAGTTTTTTAATTCTGTTACGATAAGACCATTTTTTTACAGGGGTTCTAGAGAGAGAAACACAGCCCTTTTCATTTTTTAACAGACGTTTTTTTTGTCTCATTTTATTTGTTTTTCAAAATATCGCGTTTTAAACAGTATTATGAAAAATACATGTTTGTTTGACAAACTTTTCAAAAAAAAATGGCTTTTAAAACGTTTTCTAAAAATTCACCAATTTTTTTAAAAATTGCCGATTAGTCGCCGAATTGCTAACTATGGTCTAGGGTGGTAGAAAGGTTAAGAACAAGGATTAAAAGGGAAATTGCAAAAACCCCCTAAAATTAGAATTTCATACGCACTTTACCCCACCCAAGTTTTCTTAACAACTTCCCACCTTCGTACCAAATATCTCTTATACAAAAAAGGTATTTTTTTATGACTAAAATACATTTCTCTCATGTAACAAATCATTTTCAGCTCTCAATAAAAGGAACAACGAACCACACTTGTACAATATAGGACTGCTCACATCAAAAAGCGGGACCGCTACTCCATAACGCAGGACTGTGGCCCTTCAAAATGTCGGACCGCCATATAAAAACGCCGGATTGGCCCTTCAAAATGTCGGACCACAACTTCAAAAAGCCAGACCGCCCATTCCACCAAAAAATAATCGTTTGACCGCCTATTCCAGCAAGAAGTAATCGCTAGACCGCCACCATGAAATGTCGGACCTGCCATTCTACCGCAACTTCAAAAAGCCGAACCGCGCATCCCAGAAAAAAATAATCGCCAGACCGCCCATTCCAGCATGAAATGTCGGACTGGCCATTCTACCTCAACTTCAAAAAGCCGGACCGCCCATTCGAGCAAAAAATAATATCCAGACTACCCATTCCAACAACAAGTAATCGCCGAACTGCCACCCTGAAATATCAGACCGGCCATTCTAGCAAAATAATCATCGGACCGCGTGTTCAAAATACTAGACCGCCCACTCCAACTAAAATAATGTTACGTGAGGAGAGCGAGGGGAAGGTAAGAGATACATCTTCA